GCGTGAGGCGTGGGGCGTGAGGAGTGAGGAGGAGAAGCAGCTATAAGTCTGAAGATAGAGAAGAGGAGAGAAAGTGAAGAAAAGTGAGAAGTGGAAAAGAAAAAGTAAAACGTATCACACCCGGACTTTACGTAAGATATTAAGGAAACAGTGAACTTTAAGGTTACATTGGTCACATAATAATACATAATAAGTGCACAAAAAATAGGGGTAATAGGATATTATTTTATTGCTTCATCATTTGAATTATTTTGCGGGTTCTTATTTATTTTTTTTTTTATAATTTTGTATTGTGTGTATTGTGCGTGTAATGTGAAATAGAGTAATAAATCTGGATATTAAACGTTTCTTTTCCTTAAAACCCAATATTAAATCTGAACAACAAAGAGGTGATCCGCAAAAGGTTGTACTGGTGGCGGGCCCAGGCCAGTAATCAAGATCTCTTTTTCAGAGCGTTCCCTCTCGATTGTTCTCATTTAATAGTTGGTAAAAGGATGGAAACGCAGGAGCACATATGTGGCTTGCTGGGGTTAATTGTGGGGTTGTTGGTTATTCACTTACTATTCATGATTTATAGAGAACTTAAATCCGATAAACGTGGCGGAAACTGTGGCAATTCAGTGGTTGAGGGAGATTTTCGTGACGCTATACCGAATGCAGAGTCGAGTAGAGTGGATGGTGCTATGATAGATGAAAGGTTAAATAGGACATTGGGAATTTTGGAAAGTTTAGCATTACACCAAAGTCTAATGGGAAATTCTGTGGTTATTAAGGATAATCCGGTTATTGATGTTTTTAGGGGAAAAGGTGATGTCAATAGGTGGATAAAAAAGATAACAAGAGTGATAGGACAAGTGGCAGGCAACGAGGAAGATAGAATCAGGTTTGTATTAAATCACATACATGACGCCGCAGCTGAACGAATATTCAACATTAAGCGAGAGTGGGACAGTGTAGAAGATATTTTGAAAGAACTTAGGAAAGTGTATGGAAAGAAGGTGTCAGTATGGGAATTGTACGAGCGAATGACAGCGCGAAAGCAGGGGGAAGGTGAAACTGTGTGGGAATTTTTGGATGCAATAATGGAAGTTGGTGAACTGGTTCGTCAGAGCGAACGGGAGATGAGTGACAGAATGGTCGGAGAGTGTGTAGCAAGAAACATGAGAGTGCCTGCACTAGGTATAAAGCTCTTAAATAGGACAGAAGAAAGACCGAATGAGAAGCTAGAAGAGTGGATAGAATGGATAGCAGCAAAAGAGAGCGAATGGCATTCTTTTATGAAAGGTATGAAAGTAGTAGAAAGTGACAGAACGAGAGAGAGTGAAAGAATGAATTGGAATATAGGAAGAGGAGGGAAGGAAGCTAGAAGTGATGGGCCAAGGGAAAACTGGCGAGAAAGAGGATGTTATCGGTGTGGAAGTAAAGAACACGGGATAGCATGGTGTCCTCAAGAGTCGTACAGACAGAGAAATTTTACCGTGAAATACCAACGGCGAAATGACACGTTGGAAGAAAGGCAGGACACGGGTACAGGTGAGTCGGGAAACTAAGAGGGTCCAACGGGGAGATAGACGACCGCCAACCCGGGGGACCCAATGATGATGTAGCTGAGTGTGTTGCGAACGGCGGGCAGAAGTTTTGTAAAGTAAGTAGAATAGAAGTGGAAGATAATGTTAAGATGCAAGCAAAGACTCCTCAGATAGCTGTGAGTATAGAAGGAGTAGAGATGATGGGGTTATGCGATACAGGTGCAGAAGTATCTGTAATTAGTACTTGGTTCTATGAGACTTTCTTGAAGAAGAATGGAATAAGACTACAAAGGTCAAACGCTAAGATAAGATCAATGGGAGGGAGTTTGGTCCCATGTAGAGGCAAAGTAATTGTTACATTAGAGATGTGCGGGGTTGAAGTGGAAAATGTAGCATTGCTTGTGTGTGATGAAGTAGGTGAAAATTACAATTGTTTGTGGGGTATGAATATTTTATCAGAAGTTGCAGAAATATGGCCAGTCATGTATAAGTTAAGCAGAGCAGGTGCTGGTGAAGAGAATGTGCGGGATTATATTAGTGATATAAATAGATTAGGTCAGTTAAATGTAGAAGATAATCGAGGTTTTGTACTAACAGCGAAAAGTCAGATTCCTATTATACCAGGACAAACTGTGAGATTAGTACCGGTAAATATTCCTCAACTAAGACGGGTAAAATCACAGGAAGTATTGGTAGAGCCTCTTCTGGGTTCTCATGAAGGATGGGTTCCAGAGGGGATTGTGGCATTGCCTACCGTAGTGAGGATTGAGCGGGGGAAGGGTTTCGCACTAATTGCTAATCTTTCAGGGAATGTTGTCAAGCTTAGGAGGAACTGGCGAATAGGCAAGATCACTGAAATAGATAAAGTAGAAGAGAAGGAAGTAAGAAATGCAGAGATAAAAGCGACAGATAAGAAAGCAGATGTAATGATAAATGAAGAATGTTTAAATAGGAAGCAGAGAGAAAGGTTAGAGAAACTATTGTGGAAATTCAGTGATATTTTTGCAGAGGAAAATGGACCAATTGGTACAGCTACGGGGGTACAGCATGTTATACCACTAATGACAGACCAGCCAATAAGAGTGCCATACAGACGAATCCCGCCGCATCAAGTTTCTGAGGTGAAAAATCATATAAATGAGTTGTGTAAACAAGGAGTTATAACCCCAAGCGTGAGTCCTTACTCCGCAGCGATAGTGGTAGTAAGAAAGAAAGACGGGTCACTTAGACTGTGTGTCGATTACAGGCAACTGAATAAGTACACGATAAGGGACGCTTTTCCGCTACCGCGAATTGATGAGACGGTCGAGGCACTAGAGGGAGCTCGCTTTTTCTCTACTTTTGATTTAGCCGCGGGTTATCATCAGATTGAGGTCCATCCCAAAGATCAACAAAAAACTGCCTTTAGCACTCCCTTTGGCCATTACGAGTTTAAAAGGTTACCAATGGGACTCTCAAATAGTCCTAGCACCTTCCAAAGATATATGGAACGTATATTAGGAGACAAAATTTTTCATACTTTGTTAGTATATTTGGATGACGTCATTGTGTTTAGTCGTACGGTGGAGGAACATTTAGATAGACTGGAAGAACTATTTAAGCGTATGAGGAAATATGGTTTAAAGTTCAAACCAAATAAATGCAAGTTGTTTGCAAATAAAGTTGTTTACTTAGGATACGAAGTGTCTGGAGAAGGGATTAGCACAGAGCCAGCAAAGGTAGACGCAGTGAAGTTATGGCCATTGCCAAAGACGGTCAAGGATGTGAGGGCGTTCATAGGGTTCTGTTCATTTTACAGGAAATTTATTAAAGATTTTGCTCAGATTGCGGCGCCACTTCATCAACTTATGTCAGGTGATTCACGAAGATCAATTTCGAAGGAGTGGGATGAAATTTGTCAAAAAGCATTTGAGACTTTAAAGAAGAAATTATTTACAGCACCGGTATTAAAATGTCCCGACTTTTCACGGGAATTCATTCTAGAGACTGATGCCAGTTTTAAAGGATTGGGCGCAGTTTTGTCGCAAAAATACGACGGTAAAATTCACCCAGTTTGTTACGCTAGCAGGGGACTAAGAAGATCAGAAAAAAAATATGACCAACTATAGTTCCAGAAAACTGGAACTGTTAGCGTTAAAATGGGCTGTATGCAATAAATTCAAGGATTACTTAGTGGGAAAGGAATTTACTGTATACACAGATAACAACCCATTAAGTCACTTAGAAACCTCAAAACTGGGGTGCAGTAGAAAGTGGGTGAGTGAATTACAGCAGTTTGATTTCAAAATAAAGTACAAACCTAGTCAAGACAATACAATAGCAGATGAATTAAGCAGATTACCTGAGGAATTGGAAAGCGATGGAGAGGAGGAGTTTTCAGTAATGGGAACAGCAGAGGAAGTCATGGGGGGAGAGCTATGGTCGACGGAAGAGTTGAAAGAGTATCAGAAGGAAATGAAATGTTTTAATAACATGATGACGTTCTTAACAACCAAAATGACAACAGAGGAGCTAAAGAAAATGTTGGAGGACGAAGAATTTAGAAAACTGCATAAAGTAAAACAAAATTTATTAGTGGAGGATGGAATAATCTGGCATAAGATGAGTGTGGGAGTAAATTTATGGAGAATTAGGCCGGTTTTACCACCAGGATTGCAATACAAGCTGTTGCAGGCATGTCACGATGACTGGGGTCACCAAGGAAGGAACAGAACTCTTGCGCTAGTCAGAAGTCGGGGATTTTGGCCAAGTATGTCGGAATCAGAGAATATATCAAGAGGTGCGAAAGATGCTGTGTAGCGAAGGCCGAGACTCCAAAGCCCTGCACACCGATGGGCAAGATCGAGGCTGGAAAACCATGGGAAATGTTGGCCATAGATTTTACAGTATTGGATAAACGTCAGGGGATAGAAAATGTGTTGATTTTAACTGATGTATTCACAAGATTTAGTTTTGCTTTTCCGACTAAAGATCAAAAGGCCGCAACAGTTGCAAAAATTTTGAAAGAACACATTTTTGATAAGTTCGGGCCCCAGATAAACTTCTGTCAGATCAGGGAAGGAATTTCTTAAGCTCATTGATCAAACAATTGTGCAGAAGTTATAGGGTGGAGAAAATCAGGACGACGGCGTATCATCCACAGGGAAATGGGTGTTGTGAGCGATTCAATAGGACATTACATGGATTATTAGTAACGTTAGACGAACGCGAAAAAAAGTGGCCGGAACACGTATCTGCACTGGTTTCGCACTATAATATGACCCCACACGCTACCACAGGTCATTCACCTTTCCACTTATTGTTTGGTAGGGACCGAAGATGCCGCGCGACCCAGTAGAAGTAAATGAAATCGATGAAACTGTAGATGATTGGATGGCTGAATTGGTAGAGATTCAAAAAACTATATGGGAAGTAGCGAAAGAAAATGAAAATAAACAAAAAAGTATGACAAGGAAAAAAGAGAGGAAAAGCGAAAGTACCTGACTGGAGAGTTGGACAAGAAGTTTTGTTAAAGAATAATGTTAAGATAGGGAGATGCAAGATGCAGGATGAGTGGTATAGTGAAAGGTGGATAATAGATGAAGTATTAGATGCTAAAAATGGACTTTACAAAATAAAATCATGCGATGAAAAGCAAGTCAGGGTCGAGAATAGGTGTAATTTAAGAGCGGCACCAAAACTGCAACCATGTGAGGTAAAATCCAAGTTAGAAGAGGACAGCTCTGCAGCTGATGCTTCCCCACGGCGATTGCGTAATAGAATAGTAGGAGACAATAAGGGATAGGGAAAGTGAGGATGACATGCTAGGGAAAGGTGAAAGCAGGGTTCTATCCTGAACGAGGATTGGCGTCCTCTGCCTTACTTGAGCTAAATCTATCTTTTCTCTTTTACTATATCTACTACTATTATCTTTAGTGTAAGGGAAAGGTGAAAGCAGGGTTCTATCCTGAACGAGGATTGGCGTCCTCTGCCTTACTTGAGCTAAGTCTTTCTTTTCTCTTTTACTATATCTACTACTCCTATTTTTAGTGTAAGGGAAGGTGAAAGCAGGGTTCTATCCTGAACGAGGATTGGCGTCCTCTGCCTTACTTGAGCTAAATCTATCTTTCTTTAAGACTATGCCTACTCCTTCCATCTTCATTAGTGTCTAGGATACGGTGAAGGGATATTTATTTTGGGGTGATGGGAAATGTAAAATAATTATATAGAATTTATATGAAGCAGCAGAAGTGTATATTTTGTCATGACTGAAGCGAATGTGTTGAATTGGATAATGAGCAACGGAATGATAGTGAAGAGACTGTGAATGCGAAAAGCTATAATCGCTTCGGGAGTAAGAGAACGGAGGTGAAGATCTTGTATGAGGTAGGAATGACTGGACTGACGCCGAGCTCCGAACCTGGAAGTGGTAAGAACTGTTATGGAACTGACGCCAGGGAAGGATAGTGTAGGAAGTGGTAGGTCCCCGATAGGAGAGGGATGGGAAAGAAAGAAGGAAAGAAAGGATTAGGAAAGATGAACCGGTGACAAGATTGATGGGAATGTGCATCCTTACACCAGACTCGACTCTGTACATCGGCTGGGTAATCGGAAAAATAAAGTTGCAGGAGTAAAGGAATGGTATATCTTATGCAGTTTCCACACTGTTTATTCAGGCTGGATAAGGGGAAGATGCTGTGATTGGAAAAGTAATTCTTATGCTGGTCTCCATATGGTAAATGAGGCTAGATGAGAGGTTCAGATGTTGGAAAACCTCAGGTGTTCTTTAATCTTATGTTTCTCGAGGCTCAGAGTGGAGCTGAGCCGAAAAAAATAGAGGGGGCGATTGAAAGGGTAAGGAATGCAAGAGAAGGACATTGTCATAAACAAGGTCAAATGGCAGTTATCCTACGTGAGCGTAGCGACTGCTAGGAGTGAATGAGTGCGAGTCGAAGTGTGAACGAAGCCCCGTGAAGCAGTGACGTATGTATGTGAGGATGTATGCATTCGAATGAAATAAAATGTTGGACGAGTAAATGAATGTTGAATGTGGTGTGTGTTTTGTTATTTTTACATTATATATTTTTTTCTATGTAATCATTGTAATTATTTCTTAATAAGTAAGTGACCTAATGAGTGAACAATATTCATTCCGTAACCAAAGAAAATGAAAAAAAAACATAAATAGAAAATTAAGAAAATGTGACCAATGAAAATAAATTGAACTAGAGTAATGTGCAAAATAAATATAACAAAAGAAAATCACATGAACCAACAGATGAAAATAAAACAATGAATGTCCCGGGGAATCCCTAGCGTGACGTCCCATTCACTCTCAGACAGCTGCCCAGACGAGACACACCCACCCGAGGGGCAATCAACCATACCTCTTATAAATCCTCGTAAGGAAAAGCAAACCCGTGTTAAACCCTTAGTAAAAGTGAAAGTGATTTTAATACTGAACAAAAAGAAAGTAGACATGAAGTAAAATAAGGGTATTTATGAATCAACAGGGTTTCCGGTGTGTATTGTAACATTGCTGAGCCACGTCACAAAGTACGCCCTTCTGCCTGCGTGAGGCGTGAGGCGTGAGGCGTGAGGCGTGAGGCGTGAGGCGTGAGGAGGAGAAGCAGCTATAAGTCTGAAGATAGAGAAGAGGAGAGAAAGTGAAGAAAAGTGAAGTGGAAAAGAAAAAGTAAAACGTATCACACCCGGACTTTACGTAAGATATTAAGGAAACAGTGAACTTTAAGGTTACATTGGTCACATAATAATACAATAAGTGCACAAAAATAGGGGTAATAGGATATTATTTTATTGCTTCATCATTTGAATTATTTTGCGGGTTCTTATTTTTTTTTATAATTTTGTATTGTGTGTATTGTGCGTGTAATGTGAAATAGAGTAATAAATCTGGATATTAAACGTTTCTTTTCCTTAAAACCCAATATTAAATCTGAACAACAAAGAGGTGATCCGCAAAAGGTTGTACTGGTGGCGGGCCCAGGCCAGTAATCAAGATCTCTTTTTCAACCTTTACATATATATATACACACACACACACACACACACACACACACACACACACACACACACACACACACACACACATCAGCTCCTTAATCAGGCAGCACTATTTTCTTTCAACAATGCCTCCAAAAGCAAGTGGGCAGAGTCTATCTATCTATACCAATATGATGGGTATTGTCTTTTAATTGCGCATTTCCCGTAACCGCCGGAAAAGAGACAGAGAGACGGACGCAAGCACGTATGCTGTGCTGAAGAGCCTGCATTGTTGAGTGCGCGTGAAGAGTGCCACACCCTAGCTAGCCTTATGCCACTTTCCGAGTGCCATACTGCATCGATGTGTGTTTTTAGTCATCAACAAGAGAAAGACGGACATTATAAACACTTCCACATTGGTGACCTTTCTTGTCCAGCTTGGCTTCAACATTCTGCGATAACACCACATTTCCATGGCTTCCAGTCTTATCCTCATAGTTGCAGTCATGGTCCATGTTTCACTGCCATACAGCAATACTGACCATACATAGCATTTCAGTAATCTCAGTCTGGTACTTATCTTCACTCTTCTTTTCGTTAACACACTCTTCATCTTCTCAAATGCAGCCTTTGCCTGTCCAATTCTTGCTTTTGTATCTGCGTCACATCGTGCATCCGAAGTCACTCTAATTCCTAGGTCACAAAAAGACCCAACTTGCCCCAGCGTTTCCTCATGTACCTTGATTTGACATCTTGGCGGCAGTGCTCTCTTTGATGCAACTAAGCAAAAGGATTTGTTCTTATTTATATAAAGACCCATCCGGTCACTATGTTCAACTACCACATCCAGCAATTTCTGTAGCTTTGTCCTCCGAGTCAGCCACTAGTGCTGTGCCATCTACAAACCTTATATTATTGACATTTATTCCCTTAATTTTGACACCCTCAACATCTTCAATTTCTCTCATAATCTTCTCTGTGTAGAGCGAGAAAGGATTTGGTGACATCAGGCAGCCTTGTCTCACTCCTCTCTCAACTCCAAGCCATTCACTTACTTCTCCATCAACTCTTACAGCCGCAGTTTGCTCCCAGTAGAGATTTCTGATGTTTTAATTCTTCTTCAATCAATATCCAACTCTTCCAGCACTTCCATCAACTTTTCATGTCTGTCAAAAGCCTTAACATAACCTATGAAACACACATACAAATCTTTCTGTACTTGAATTGACCTTTCCATCATCATCCTCAACAAGTAGATGGCACTCCGTTCCCTTATCTTCAACATACCCATACTGCACCTCTCCAATTACGCTTTTCGTTCTTCCTTTCACTCTATTAATCAGAACCCTTAGTAAAATCTTCGACATGTGGCTCATCAGACTAATCGCCTGTGAAGTTCACACTTAACTGCTCCTGGTTTCTTTGGCATTGCAATGAACGCTGACTTACACATATCTTCTGGAAATTTACCTTCATCCTATATTCTATTTGCCAACTTCGTTATCATTTCAATGCCAGAATCTTCCAGTGCGTCTATCATTTCTATTGCTGTCTCATCAGGACCAGTTGCTTTACCACTTTTAGTTTGCTTTATTGCTTATGCTACCTCATCTTGTAAGATAGGTAAATTTTCACTATTCTTATGACCGGTTTTTCACCACGATCATCTTCAGACAGCTCTTTCATGTATTCTTGCCACCTCTCTAGAATGTTCTTTTCCATGATCAGTATTCTATCTTTAGCTTCAATACACCTAGATGCATTACAGCCACCTTTCTTTCTACCAGTTACCTGCCTCACAAGACTATGGGCTTTTCCTGGATTCAATCTTGCAAACCTTTCTATCTCTTCACATTGATCATTCAACATCTTATCTTTTGCTTCATCACATTTTTTTCCTGATTGCAATATTCAGCTGCTCATATTGTTCATTATTTTTCACTTTTCTTCATACATCCATTAACTCCAAAATTTCGTCTGTCATCCATGACTGATTACTCTTAGGAGTATTCTTCGGTACCACCTGCCGTTTTTACTAATACCAATTTCATATTTTCATATAATTCATTTATCTCTACTTCCTCATTTACATTTTCCATTTTTTTGCTGAACCAGTTCTCTGTATTTTGTTCTAGTCCTATCCTTCTTCAATGCACTTAATTCCAAATTATTTCTTTTTTGACATTTTGTTTCTTTAACTTAATTCTAAAATTTCCTACAACTGGTACATGATCACTATCACAATCTGCACCTGGATGACTTTTGACTTTTACCGCTGCATTCCGGAACATTTGCGATATAGCAATGTAATCAATCTGATTCTTTGTTCTTCCATCTGGACTCTTCCAAGTCCACAGCCTTCTAGGATGCTCTTTGAACCACAGATTAAAAATTAGTCATTTTGTTGGCACCATTCCATAAATCTTTCGCCAGGTTCTTTCTTTCCACCGTCCACAATTTCCCACAACTGATTGGTATCTATCTAGACGGACTTTAGCATTCGAATCCCCGATCACAGTCACCACTTCCTGCGATCCACACTGCTGAAGCTTAGCCTCTTCAACTTCTGAATAAAACCTATTTCTTCTTCCGTGCTACTACTCGTTGGGGCAGACACTTGAATAATAGCATAGTTAAATGGTTTTCCTTTAAGTTTGATCATTATCACTCTTTCTGACACCGCATGAAAACCCATCAAGGATTTAGCTACTTCTTTTTGTAATGAAATGCCGACTCCCGCTTCATGTACATCACTTTTGCCAGAGTACTTCATAGTTACGTCACCTGATCTAAAAATACCTGAGTCCATCGAACTTCACTTAACCCCATTATATCAATGTTCAATCTCTTCATCTCCTTTTTTACATTCTCAAATGTACGCACATTCCAAGTTGCTAATCTGGACACCTGTATCAGTATCCTGATGACGATCTAGTGTGTCCTGCTCTTTCAACAGCACTATACCGGAGGAAGGACATATTGAAAATGTCCCATTCACGTCGTTGAGCATTATTCATTCAACTGACATCATTGGTAGTAAACTTGGAGAAAAAACAGTGAGGTCCCCAGTACTCTACTGTATATGTCGAGATCATTATTTATTCGACATTTAAAAAGGTGCACTGTTTCTGATTTCAAAAATGTACGTTCGTCACTGAAACATTTGTTTATATATTTTCAGAAATCTAAAGGCATATCAATATAGAAAAATTTTGTTTTATATCAAAGAGTAAATTATAATAATTTATAAATGGTTCGTTTGTTTAAATGCCAGTTATTCGTTTGGGGGAAAGCAACAAGTTCGCTATTTTAACGATTTCTCGGCAGACTTATCCTTGCCTTCCTCCACGTAACAGGTAAGCTGA